ATGAAGCATCTGCAAGAAAACAACCAAGCTCAGAGAGTTTAAGGACTTCACAGTAGTCTTTGTTGCCCTCTTTGTCCCCTTCTCCTCCTCTTTCTCTCCCACTCCCTTCTAGCACTGATGGTGTTACCTAGTTTGGGTAATGAAATGTCTGCAAGAAAACAGCCAAGCTCAGAGAGCATCAAGGACCCTGCAGTTCAACCCTGAGCTTCAAAGATTTGTCTTTATTGACACAGTCTTAGGAAGGAAGCATTGGAAAATCAATTTTTTAAAAAAACTTGCCAAGAAAACTGCAGGGACTCATTCAAACAATTAGCCAAGAATCAAGAGTGATTTGAAAACACACACACACACACACACACATCCACCAAAAATTCCCACCAGTGGATAGTGAAGGTAGTTGCTAGGGGTCAAAAACTGATTTGAAGGTACATATATATATGTATGTATGTATGTATATGTGTGTGTCAGCTCAGGGCAGCAAAAAAAAAAGGTCTAATACTTCTGCCTCTTATTTTCCCCATCACAACAACCCTGTCAGGTGGATTGGCCTGAAAGAGAGCGATTCATAGTCCACCTAGACATGCTTAAGGCGGGACCAAAACTCAACATCATCTGGTGATTGGCCCAAAGTCACCCAGTTGGCTTTCATGTCTAAGGAAGAGGGGGAGCTGGAACTCGCCATATCCTGGTTTCTGGGCCAGCCCCTTCGCCCTTATATCAGACTGGCTCTTAAATAAGTAGTGTTGCTGTGGTTAAGGTTCCCATGATCTTGACTGTTGGCTTATTCTGAGAGGTTTATCTTCACTGATAGACTGACTGGTGTTTGGGGCTGCAGGGCGCCCACCGAGGCCGTGTTAAGGGCAGGCAGGGATGAGAGATCACCATTTCTCATTTTTAATTTAAATGTCTAAGGCCTTACTGAGGACTCCGGGCAATGTAAAAACAATGTTTTCAACATGATTTTTTTTAAAGGAACAATACATTAAAAGCCAGGTTTGGCAATGGTTTTTACTTGCCAGGGTACTGGTAAAAAATAGACTAAAACATCTGAGAATTTAATATTCCCTACCTATTACATCATAATTACTGCTGCAGTGTATCATTCTTAATTATAATTACATCATGTTACATGTTGCAACTTGGGTAAGCAAAGGCAATGAATGGATATACAAGTTATGAAGCATTAATAGCATTATTTCATGGTGTTCTGCCTCCAGTGCCTTGTGCTCTCTTTCCTTGTACCCTACTTTATATTTTAGCAATATATGACTTATTCTTCTTTTCTAAAGAGATCTCTCTGCTTTATATGAAATAGGGTTTGATTTGATTTATGCCTGTTGCAAATCAAGAAAGCTCTTGGCAGTAGGAAAAAAAATAACTTGGGGCATTCTGAATAGCTAGGAAAGCTCAAAAGTCTGATTTAAAAAGAAAGTTGGCTTAGAGATCTGGGAATTTTAAAATAGAGATCATGACACAAAAATAGGGCCCAATATGTGTTGTTGTTTTTTTTGTTTTTTTACTATAGCTGAAGGAATAGGAATGAAGGGTTACTGTTTGAAAGGTCTCCATTTCCAGATATAGTAAATAGTAAACAAACTTCTTTCATTTATCAAATCCCAGTTTTTTTTCTAATCATGATTAAGAGATCCTTTCTCTTAATTCTATGGAATATGGAGAAAGTTCCAGTACCTAAGAGCTGGGAAATATAGATGTATATATTATTGATGTTATATTTGTTATAACATTGCATATTTTCCCCCTCTCCATCAGATTATTTTCCATTCTACTATCTTTGTTTCCATTTGCGCAGTAGGATTCATTAATTCATAGCCAGGCCCTTTTTAAATATTTTGCTTCCTCAGGCTAATTTGAAAATTGCGCTATTCTGATTTATGTCAGACTGCTAATTTGTATTAAGGTGTGTGAAATTAGTGTTGCAGATAAGTTGGTGCAGATGGCATAATTTTGGCACATGAACCCATTGATGCTTATGAAACCCTTCCTATCCACAACTGATCACATGAAGGAATCCTTAATTTCCCAGAGACCCACATCTAGATATGTATTTTAACAATAGCTATACATAGCATTTATACAATATCCTAACTATAAGTAATGCCTTCATTTGTACATGATTTTCATGTCCATTTTAAAAGGGGAGCAAACAGAGAGATCATAATTTCTGGCTTATGCTGGTAGAACAATAAAAAGATTTATTTTGAGATTAACTTTTTATTTACAAATGTGCATGTATGTGGCAAAGCTTCCAGGTTCTACAAATATTTTAGATAGCCTAATAACTTTTTAGTATGGTACCACTAAATTATGTCACACCATTGGTTTGGATGATCTTCAGTTAAGCTCTAGCAATGGCAATTTAAACTTAAAGTTAATTTACATTTTAACAGAGCTCCTTGTTTACCTTTTTACATCTTATCAAACACAACTCAGTCCAAATGCAGACACTTATGGTTTTGTCAGAAAATATAAAATAACCTCTGTAACAACTTCTGAAAATAATAGCAGATCCAAAAGTCCATGCAGGTTTTACTAACATAGCTTACTTTTAAAGAATAGAATTACAGTGTGTGATGAGCAAATCAAAGTTTCCTGATTGCTTGGCATTTGTTTATTTAACAACATGCCTACTGTTTTATGTATTTTATTTTATTTGTATTCCACCTTTCTTTTTATAAACTCAGTTAAACTTATACATATTAAATTAAACTTATGCATAAATAGTTGTGCTTCTTTCTTTTGTAGTTGGAAAGACCTCCTTAATCACTAGATTTATGTATGACAGTTTTGACAACACTTATCAGGTAAGTGTCAGAAAGATGATCCCTTGTACCATTTCAGATTAATTATCAGATTGCTTTAATCACGAGAGACTATACATGTAGAAAGATAAGAGTTCACTGCACTCATATTTTTCCATTTGAGAAAAAGCCTACTAAATACATAGTTATACATACTGAAGCATAACTAATTTTTGATCATTAAAATCATACAAAAGCTGTAAAAGTCACATTCTGTTCAGATTAAAATTATAGATGAAACACATCAAAGAGGATAGTCACATGGCACTCAGTAAAGATTTGATTAAACTGAAGTTTTCCTGTTCCTGCTGCCTGACATGCAAAGGTGGTATCTGATCATCTGTATTGTCTGAAAAACCGCTTTCAAGCTTCATGTAGCTTGCAAAACACAACTTTTATGCCACTAACTACAGCTAACCCTCACTTAAGTAAGATAATTGGGATCAGGAAGTCTGTTAAGCCGCACAGTCATAGCTTATGATGTCACTTGACTGTGCCAACTTACAATGGAAGTTGCAGTTGCCATTAGGCAACTTCTCTACATCATTAACTACCATGCCGTATGATCATCATTTGCAACCTCCTGCCAGTTTCTCCATTTGACTGTTGTTGTCAGAAGCAAGCGATACTGCAATAGCCATAATTGCAAGATGGTTTCCAAATGTCCAAATTGTGACAGTGTGATCAAGTGAATGCTGCATCAGCTGCAACTTCTAAGACAGAAGTCTCCTTGTTCAGCTCCATCATAACATGGAATGGTCGCTGAACACTAAAATGACCCCAAGTTCTAAGTCAGAACATAGCTGAATTTATTTGAGCATCCTGTCTTATACAAATAGCACATGTACAGTTTCTTAAACTCTTCTAAGGTATGTACTTTTATGAGAGTCTACCCAGCACCAAAGTGTATTTGCTGTGCTTCCTTCAGGACAGCATAGAAGTGGTTTGTGGTTGCTTTTTCAGGAGAGATTTTTCAGTCTCTGCATAAGAACAGAAATTAATGCAATTAATAAGAATTTAATCTCACACAAATCCATAACACTTTTAGTTTAAAATCTCAGTGTAGTTCCAAAAATTGCTGAAACTCATCTATTAAATATCTGGGAAAGATATTTAATATTCTGTTACAGTTTGTGAACTGTGAGTTGGATTTAAAATAATACTACATATACTATTATTATTTTGTGTTCAATATTCTCTGATTTCCAACCTAATGTTCCCTGCCATGCTTTTTTTTAAATAAAGATTGTTTTTTTATGGTTCAAAAGTGAATCTTCTCTTATTTTTCCAGGCCACCATTGGAATTGATTTCCTTTCAAAGACTATGTATTTAGAAGACCGCACGGTAAGTGGATTTATCTGTCTTCTAAGTTTTACTGATTCTCTCCACAATTCCGTGGTACTTTTCCCCATCAACATAATCTGTGGCTTGAATCTCCAGGAGGAAATCTAGGGGTACCAGTGTGCCCATAGATATTCTTGAACTCTGCTATGTTTTCTCCCCTGATTGCCTTTTACATTAAAAGCGTTGGAAGTTTTCAAAAATGGAAAATGGCACATTGAAATCATTTTTATTCCATAAATACATTTACCCTTAGATTTCCAACTTTGGCCTGGATATCTTTCAACTTGCCCCAAGAAAGACCCACTAAGCACAGCATAGGAGTAAATAATTTGTTTTGTAAATGGTTGAATCCTCTGGAAACCATGACCACCTTCAGTTCAGTAATCGTTTTATGAAGGTTTCCACAAAATAAACATGGTTTCAAAATAACCTTTTCCCCAGACTATAGGAAGAAGGAATTGGCAGGTTGAATATATTTCACTGACACGCCCATTTTACAATCTGTGATTGGATACTGGCAGCTGGGTATGGCAATTTTATTGCTTTATTATTGGTCCAGATTGCAGACCTGATGTTCTGAACCTCCTTTAAGGGGTTAGTAAGATACTCTTTTTAAGGAGGAGAGAAAGCACATGTGTAAGATATCCATGCCTTAGATCAGATTCTATTAAGCTTGCAAATCAGACTAGCTACAATAGGGGTCATTTGCTCTCCAGCCTCATGGCACTGCCTTTTATTCTGTCTGGTGGACAGGCCTGTGTGCTGATTTTGACAGCTTGAGGGAGACCAGTCTACCAACCAGTTCTTAACAATAATGCAAAAAAACTTCTGAACACCAACTATCCCTATGGATGAAGCCTAGATTGAGAATGCAGCAAATAGGATGCCTGACAAGGGTACGAACCTGGATCTCTTTGTCCAGATACTTATCTACGAGGTCAGATTGCCCTTGTTTTACTCAGGTTACCTGTTACTTGGTCTGAAGAAGCCATACCTTGAATATTACTTTGGTTGTTGTTTTAATTTTAAAGGATACATTGTGTTTTGGGATGAGTTTTCATCTTAGCCAGAACAGAGATTTTACACAATCATATATGGAGGAATTCAACTTTACAGGGCAAGATCATTCTTATCTTAAGTTGTCATCCTGACCAATAGATTTTTTTACAATTGATATTTCGAATGGTCAACAGTAGCCTCCATCCACCAACTCAGTGATTGCAGATATGTTGAAGTATCTTGAGCCACTTCCTGACTGACTGTAGGATGAATAGCTGCTTTTCTCATGGAGTGTCTCTTGTCTGTGGGTGATGAGTTTTGTCCTCATTATTGACTTGCTTAGCACAGTAGAACCAGGACAGAAGTTGCGCAGCAGAAGCAATTCCATTATAGCCTCGATGAACTTGCAGTTCCTGAACCTGGAATAAAGTATAAGGAAAGATAATAGTAGAAGGTTCAAGCCAAATGGTTAATGGAATTATTATGGGGTGGGAAAATAAAGGCTACCAGGTCTTTCATAAAGAGTTCCATCTGGAGAAATAGATGACAAAAGCTTTTTTTATTTGCTTATTTAGAAAAACAAAACCATGAGTTTTCATTTTTAGTTTTACGCTGCATTTTAGTTTCATTTTAACTTCCCTCTTATTTATTTGCATTGTTTCTTTCGAGTGTGTCATTTTTTTAATTTCACATGCGTTTTGCTTTATTATTATTATTTTTTGTCCATATTCCTGCTCTTCTCTTTCCTCCTCTCCACCCTTTCCCCCCCACATTTTCTCTTTTCCCAGATCAGGCTGCCGCTGTGGGCCAGGGGAGATCCCGCAGCCTCATTCCCAGCTACCTCCGGGACTCTGCTGAGGCTGTCATTGTCTTTGACCTGACAAGTAGGTATTGAGGTTTAAGTGCAGCAGGCCCCTTGCTCTGATCGAGGGGAGAACTGAGTTCTCGTTCTCAGGAAGCAGCCAGGACTCCGTTCACCCCTCCAAAGAGAGGCAGTGTTCCATGATAAGCAAGCCATGATAGGCAGTTGAATAGAATCTGTGGCCATGAATAAATGGGCAGGCCTGGCTTTTATTTTATTTATTTTTTAGTTTGGAAGGGATAATGAGATAAGCATTTCTCTTCTGGACATATTGATTTTGTATCCCTCCCGAAGGAGGTACATCTTATTGGAATTCTATGGTATATACCAGCTGTCAGGATTCCGGGCGATCATTCTAATTAAATCATAAGCTTTGAGCCAAGCTTCAAAAAACTTCAAAAGATTTATTAGGAGCAACATGCCGGCATGACCGACTCTGAGACACGTAATTTACAATCACCTATGACCTTGCCTTTCCCGCACCCCCCTGGGTGTATCATAATTCAGCTTCTCCAACTAAACACGTTCACGGGCTGGGTGCCATCACTCACATTCTCTAATAAAGGATTTTCATGGGCAGAATACCCGGTTTCCTAAGTTACAGTCTTTTTGAGATAAGCTTGGAATGTGCTTCTGATTTTATTTTTCTCATGGCAACTTGGAAACGGGCATAGGGATGCTTTACAAGTTGGCACCAGCTTTGATCAGAGCACATGAAGTCTGTTCCCTAAGGAAGAGCTAAGACGAAGGCTAACTCTTCTCATTGCGTTCCTCTCCTGCTTTTGAATATGCCCCTGTATAACTCATAATGTTTTATAACTCCACAAATTACCAGGTAGTCCTTGACTTACGGCCACAATTGAGCCCAAATTTTTTTCTAGCTAAGCGAGACAGTTGTTTTAAGTGAGTTTCACCCCCATTTTACCACCTTTCTTGAATCACTACAGTTGTAAAAGTTAGTAAGACAGTTAAGTGAAACAGGTTTCCCCATTGACTTTGCTTGGCAGAAGGTCGCAAGAAGTAATAACATGGCCCTGGGACACTGCAACCGTCATAACTATGAGTCGGTTGCCACGCGTCCAGATTTTGGTCACATGACCACAGGTATGCTACAACATGTGAAAAATGGTCATGAGTCACTTTTTTTCACTGCCATTGTAACTTTTAATGGTCAAAAAACATTGTCAGTCAAGGACCACCTGCTCAGAAGAAAACACCTATTCTCCCAAGGATTGGGTGGAAATAGTTAGCTTTGACATTTTGATTGGCTTTATTTGAAAGCTGAATTGTTTTCTCTTATTCCTCTGCTGTTGACAATTCTGTACACATCTTAATATTTTTTTCTCCTGTATATTCTCCCCTTTATTTGCTCATATATTTTGATTCACCCTTCATTAAAAACTGTTTTTAGAGCAGTTCATGCTAACTTGAGAATTTCAGAAATAAAACTAATAAGTTTGTTGTAGGGCAGAAGAACATTTTGTTAACTGAAAGTTATGAGCTCAGGCTACGCCATTCCACCTCAGATCCTTCTGCATGTTCCAGAAGTCATTCTAAGTGATCTAGAACCTGGAATATTTTGATACTTCTACTAATTTAAAGCAGTTAGTCCCCTTTAACAATTTGAAGAAAGCTGTTAAAAGATGAACAGCAGTAGGTGCAAGCATTTCGTATTGATTCGCCACGACCAAACTACAATAACATGGTTAAAAATCAACATAGAGCATAAAGTCCAGCAAGAATGTTAGACATATAATGCGGGAACCCCAACCAGTGATACACCCTACACCCACGGAAGGCACAGATTGACAAAACAGTTGTTTCTACATACACTTTTACTAATAATAGCAATAGCACCTGGATTTGTATAGCGCTTCACAGTGCTTCACAGCCCTCTCTGAGCGGTTTATAGAGTCAGCCTCTTGCCCCCAACAATCTGGGTCCTCATGTTACAACCTCAAAGGCTGTGGGCAGAGTTAACCTTCAATATCCCGCATTCTAACCACTCTGCCACAGGGGCTCCCATAATCCTATAAAATTCAATTTAAAGTTATACTTTTAAACTATTAGACAGGCGAGAGTCCACCTAATATAGTTAACGCACAGAGCCAAAAATGGGAAGACGGTGAATTTCAACTCCTGAATCACCAAACCAGCTGAGTGACTTCGTCTAGTCACTCTCTCTCAGCCTAGAATGACAGTGGAAAATCACTTCAAAAATCTTGCCAGAAAACACTACTTTGAAGCTGCCGCACCCCCTCCAAAACTCTTTATGTAATTAATAGGCTCACCTTGAAAATGTAAAAAATTGATGCAAAGAATGGTTCGTACAGATTGATTCTTATTTGAGGAAGAAGATGGCTACTGGCTCTGGAAGGTCTTCAGAGGCAATCCTTTTTTTTTTTTTTCTCCCATAATTATCAAGTCAGAGCAGTCTTAACAAGATAGCTCCTCACCATGTACAGTGCTTTTTAATTTTTATCGTTCCTGTAAATATTCAAAAAAAAATCTGTTATCATTGTAGACCATGCTTAAGGAGACATGTATTTTTCCTTAGAAAATGTAGAAATGGGGAAAACGTTGGCAAAGAAGCATGTGTGTTGGAAATATTCCTGTTTTATATTTAAGGCTCCCTGGAAAATGGGTGTTACTGGAAGACTTGGTGGGATGTACCTTTCTCTTGAGCATTGATCATATTGGCATAAGATCTCCCACAGTACAGTTTTTTGCAGTGATCCCGCATAATAGGATCCCAAGTTCCCTGACTGATAAGTTAGTGTATTGCAGCTAATTTTCCTTTTCTCCAGAACAGATCCATTAACCTTCTATTTATACCTGAAACAAAAGATTATGGTAACAAATAAGTGTCATTATTCTTAGGTTGTTGTGCAAGCAAATATTTCATCTCTTAATTCTCACTGCAGCATCTGTGCTGAGTTGCTTCCACTACTAAATAATTCCCTTTGTTTTTCTACATTTCTCCAATTCCCATTATAATATTTAGTAATTATACAATTAGATGGGAGTCTGTTTTGTGGTTTGGGCAATAGACAAACTTAACAAAAAGCAGTTACTGAAGTTTGGGCCTGTTTTTAAAGTCATTCACTTGTGTACCAGTAATTCATATTAAAAAGATAAATTATTATGTCAGCCATTCTTGATTTGGGGCTTGCCTTGATGAATGTCTACTGGTTTAAGAAGAGGCTTTTAAAAAGAAACTGCACAGCCACCCAACTGAAATGGTATAGGGTCTCCTGCTTGAGCACGGGGTTGGACTAGAAGACCTCCACGGTCCCTTCCAACTCTTGTTCTGAGTAGAGCAGGTGACCATCTGGCAGGCATATTTTTTCTCACCTTCATTTATAGTTCAGTCCTTATTGGTGGCCGTGGGGCACTGCAGTGTTGTAATTGGGAGGCTGATGCTGAACACCCGGATTGTGATCACATGACATAAGGGACACACTGTGGTTGATGTAACATTGTTCAGTGCTGTAAGAAGTTTAGTCACTAAATGAGTGGTTGTTAAACGAGGACCCCCTGTAAATATTTATCTAGTGGCCCCATATAACCCCATAATATTCTTTCCCATGTTTCATGAATCATATTGGTTGTGTTTTGGAAACAGCAGTAATATTTTCAGCCAGTGATAGTACTTGGCTCTCAAATGAAACTATCCGCTTGAGTAATAACTGGGATGATCTTCATTTGCAGGTTCAGCTAAGAGTTTTTGTTTGTTCTCTACTCATTGTCAGGTATATCAGGCCAACAACATAGTTAAAACTGATATAGAAAATACAGTTTCATTCATGGTTTCTCTTAAGTTGAAATGAATTTGTTTGTACTAAGTCAAATTACACACATCACACAGGCATTCTAACTTCTGGGTCTCCTGGCTCTTGGTGCTTCAGCTGAGGTTTTAAATTATTTATTAAATGTGCAACTTGGAATGAGTAAGGCTATATCATACTTTTTTCACTCAGAAGTCTTTAAGGCTGAGCAGGGATTTTCTTTGGTTCTCTTACCATTATCACAGAAGTATGCGGTATTGTGTATTTTACAGGAAGAAACATTTTCTCTATTGCATGCTCAAAAACGGAAGGTTAACTTCCATGAATCTGTCAGATTTCTAGTGAATCTAACATGCAGTCCTACAAGTGTTACTTTCAACCCAAATGAAATAGATTTTCTATCTCGGAAATAATGATTTTTTGAAGGAAATTTTTTTTCATGCCCCCCCCCCCCACCAATTGTTTTATAGTATGCCAAGATAAAGTAGCCCATGACTCTGTAATTAATCTTAATCTGCACCACTGGCATTCTCGTTTGTCTTGATGGAGAGTTTTTGGAATAAATTTATTAGAGAGCAGTAGCCTGTGATGTGTAAATTTTCTGTACTTTTAATGCCCATACTGCATTTTCTGATGAGATATTTGTATGCAATTCTATAGAATTCCTTCCAATGCACTGCCTTTTCTCTAAAGGACATTTTCTTTCTTTTTCCTTCTTCTGCCTTGTCTCTTTCTGTTTTTTTTCCCTGGGCTGCTCCCAGCAGGTCCGACTTCAGCTTTGGGACACAGCAGGCCAGGAACGGTTCCGTAGCCTCATTCCCAGCTACATACGTGACTCAACTATTGCAGTGGTAGTCTATGACATTACAAGTGAGTGAGAGATTTGTGTCATGGTACACCAAAACATTTTGTTCTAGAAGAAATCTGAGCCCAGAAGCCCTGAGTCATCCATGAAGGCTCAGTGGGGCTCAGTTCAGGTGATGCCATGCTGACAAACAGAAGGCCCTAGTGCCTTTTGCCCCAGGCAAAGAACCATCCTGACGCTGCCTTTGTTTACTTGTTTGTTTATACGTCATATTTCTAACCCTCAAAGAGGGACTCTGGGCAGTGTACAATATAATATAACCAGTAAATAAAACAATGCATAAAAATTAACATTAGAAATTAAAAATTAGAGTTAAGCTGTTCAAAATTATAGAATAGGGACAAACATCAAAAGGGGGAAATCTTAAAATGGCCATTTAACATTGGATTATTACAGGTGCGGGGTCGGGGCTTTCAGGAGACTAGCCAGCCCCACTGTTGCGAGGTCTTCTGTGCCCTCACAAGTCTGCAGAATGAAGGGTTGACCGCTGTGTGGAAAGCCAAGAGATGGGGGGAGGCTTTCCTCACCTGGAGAACAAGATGTTGCACAAAGTGGGGACAGCGGCAGAGAAGGCTCTAGAAAACCTTTGACTGGCAGGGTCTGTAGCATACCTTCCCTGCCTGGTCGAGTGAGACGGGCTAGTGAGATAGGAGGAAGCCGCTTCTGTGGGTCTTAATATTCTGTAGGTATTATATTGTTCTTTGACTTGACTGTAGTGCATTGAGCTACCTTCTCCTTGCAGATCTGAATTCCTTCCAGCAAACCTCCAAATGGATCGACGATGTGCGAACAGAAAGAGGAAGTGATGTCATCATTATGCTGGTGGGCAATAAAACTGACCTTGCAGATAAAAGGTAATTGAGTTTGAAAAGAGAATGTTTTGGGGGGAAGGGGACGATGTGCTAGAAAAATGTCTGGCTAATACTTGGAAGAGCCAAAGAAGTTGCATCCATCCAGAAGCTGCTGAATTCCCACCATTTTTCCTCTTGGCTATGAGTTTGAGTCTGTTGGGAGTATGACACAGTCAGCATTTTGCTCCCAACCATCTGGGTCCTCATTTTACCCACCTCAGAAGGATGGAAGGCTGAGTCAACCGTGAAATGGTGAGAATCGAACTCCTGGCAATGAGCAGAGTCACCCTGCCCTACTGCGTTCCAGCCACTGTTCTACCGCAGCAGTGCCTAGAAGACCACAGATTCTCTACTATTTGGCATGCAGAAAAAGTATTTCCCTTTTCGTCAAAAGAGCAAAATTAAATATTGCAAAGGACCTGGCAATATCAGAGTTGATGCTGTAGTGATTTATTTCTTTTTAACTCTTAAGATAGATTTTTTAAAAAATCCAATTCTTGCAGCTTACTCTACCAGCACAAAAATATTATTCAAGGACCTTAGTATCATTCCTATTATTTTTCACATCTAACTCTTGAGTGACTCTTTGCCTTATTCTTCCACCAATAAAACTCCCATGGAGGCTTATATAGATCAGTTTTAAATTCCTTCCAGCATGTAATGCAAAATTCATGACACATAAGAAAAGCGAGAAGAGGCTGATGATGAGACACCATTGATGGAACGTAGCTGCTGCTGAGAGCTACAGTAAGGCAAAAGGCCTTGCTTCTTTCCCTTAAGCTATACTATCTTTTGGAAAAGCAGGATCAATTGTTCCTTGCTGTGCATCTTTTCATCTTTCTTATGTTAGAGTTTATATTGGAGGTGATGTAATAGGTCTGTCCCACCATGTTCTCAAGCTCTGTTCTTTGAATGCAGAAAGAGAAATTTCTGGTCACAGCACAGTAAAACCCTCACTACTAGGTCATTTTGTGTTGTGTGTTTAGTTTCTTGTTAATTGGTATTCAGCGGAGTAACCTCTCTGTTGATCTTGCACAAATTCTTATTCACTGGAAGCCGCTTAAACAATAAGCTTATTTTTGCACCCCAGAACTGAGCTCCTGGAATAGTGGAGTTGGCTGGAATTCTCCCAGAGTAATACATTTATTTTTTGACTGTGTTCTGCTGATTATCTTTAAAGAATACAAAGTGTTGGGTTTTATCGCCATTGTTTTTAAAGAACTACCAGCCAACTGAGAAACAGGCCAGTCAAAGGACTTATTGCTAGAAAGGTTCCGTTTGATGGATGCATTAAAACAGGGGTCCCCAACCACCGGTCCGTGGACCAGTACCGGTCCGCGGAACAACTCCTACCGGGCCGCTGGTTGCTGGGCGCCGCCATCTTTTTTTGACGAAAAAGTGCTTCTGATGAGCTTTTCCGGGTAGAAAGCTCACCGGAAGCACTTTTTCATCAAAAAAAGATGGCGGCGCCCAGCTGATGCCGGTACCGGGCCGCGGCATAAAAAAGGTTGGGGATCACTGCATTAAAAGACTTACGGAAATGTTTTGAACTTCTGAGGTGGCTTCCATTTTCATGGCACATTATTTCACAATGTAGGTACCACCACAAAGCAAGTGAAATGAATTTCTTATAGTCAAGAAATCAGACAAGTGGTACGGTGGCCTAGAGGTGGAGCTCTCACCTCACAACCAGGAGGCTATGAGTTCGATCCTAGGTAGAGGCAGCTATTTCTCTCTCTGGGCACAGTGAGAATATATCTGTTCCCCGTTGGTGACAGGAAGGGCATCCGGCCAGTAAAAATTATCTAGCTCCATTCAGTTGCCCAGACTTATGGGGTGGTTAAAAGATGATGATGATGGGGAAGGAGGAGGAGGAGAAGAAATCAGACAAGACCCATTAAGAATGTGCCTTTGGTAGACATCTTGTACAGCATGGGTCAAATTGTATAGGAATGCAATAGGAAATCAAGTAATTGGGTCTGAACTGTTGTAAGAAAGAATAGCAGTAGCACTTAGACTTACATACCGTTTCACAGTGCTTTACAGCCCTCTCTAAGAGGTTTACAGCCTATTGCCCCCAATCTGGGTCCTCATTTTACCAACCTTGGAAGGATGGAAGGCTGAGTCGACCTTAAGCCTGGTGAGACCCAAACTGCTGGCAGCCAGTGATCAGCAGAAGTAGCCTGCACTCTTAACTATTGTGCCACCGCAGCTCTTAGAATCCCCACCCATTGGTTAATTTTCCTTTACATTTCTGCAGAAGAGGGCTTACAAAGAGCATAACAACTTAACAGAATAAACCAACGATAAAAGTTGGATTTAGTATAGAATTGGATACGTACAACTTGTTAGAGGTGAACTTGCTGACAGCTTGTTAATTCCTACAGAGCTACAAGATCTCTTAGGCAATATGGAACTCAGCCCAGCAAAAGCTATTAAATCATTCTGGGTTGGGGGTTTTTTGCAGTCCCTTCCAGGGAACAAAAATAGCTTTAGCCAGTGCCATTGGCTAGCATTCATTCCTTAGAGCTTTGATTTAGTGGGACATAGAAATGAACAAAAATATGTTTCCGTTACTATAGGTCTGATGAATTTAATTTGCCCACATCCTTCAGCCAAATATCACATGCCCCTTTGACCTAATTTTAAAAGCCTTCTTGGGAAACTTCGTTTATGCCTTTGGCAGGCTGGTCACAAAGACCTCAAAAGTCTTGTTTCTTACTCTGCAGGCAGATTACTACAGAAGAAGGTGAACAGAGAGCCAAAGAACTAAGCGTGATGTTCATTGAGACTAGTGCGAAGACGGGCTACAACGTGAAGCAGGTAATTCTAACTGCAGGTTTCAACAGAAATCGTTCCATCCTGTTTGAGAGCCCCTCCTTAGCAAATGTGGGCTTCCTTTGCTTAACACCGAAGTCTTCTACAAGATGAGCTTTTCCAGCTTATATTAATGTTTCGTTTTTAGTACCTTTAAAAAAGAGCGGCTGCAATGTCACTCCTGGTTTAAGGGCCTTTCATGCTAACTGCTGAAGTGCTTTTATTTCCTTGGATTTTAGTTCTTCTTTCACGTCTATCCTCATGGGAGTAGACTTCATATTCCACTAACAGGCACTGTGTTCACAAAGTTTGGGATGTTGTCTTTCAGCTTTTCCGCCGTGTTGCTGCTGCGTTACCTGGGATGGACAACGCTCCCGAGAAAAGCAAAGATGACAGTATCCTTACCCTGCTGGGCTTTGTCCTGCATTTACAAACTTTCTGAGCATGAATCTAGCTGGTTCTTTTCCCCCTCCATCGGTGATCTTACAGGCAAATTGCAAAGGTCAAGCAATTTGCCATCTTAACCTTCAGACCTGTCAATTCTGCATGCATCCAAAAGGACATTGAAAGGTTGTTAAGGTCCAACCTATTACTTCTGGAAGTAGAGTTGGGGCAGTTCACCTCTTTAGAACAGGGGTCCCCAATGCCCGGGCCACGGACCACTACCGTACCACAACCCATTGGGAACCAAGCCGCCAAAGCGGCAGGCAAACGTGTGAAGTTTCGTATGCGCAGGATTTAGGTTGCACGTGCGAAACCATTTCCCACGCTGTCGCTGCTGAAACCGCCGAAGCCACTGCTCCTGCTGCCAGTCTGCAGAATCAAAAAGTTTATGGACCCCTGCTTTAGAAGCTCTTTCTGCTCTCTCTGGTTGGTTGTTTTCTTGCAGAACAACATTCTTCCTAATAACATGAAAACCTGCCTTATGCCAAGCTTGAGCCAATAGCCAAAATACAGTGTGTTTAACTAGGGTGGTAAAAAGTAGGTTGTATAATTCAATAAAGGAGGATATTTGTAGCTCAGGGTCGAAATGAGGCGTCCTTGGTGCTCTGTGCTTGGTTGTTTTAGTGCAGACATTTCATGTGCAGACAAACTAGGTAACATCCTCAGTGCTATCATGATACCTGGTTTTGATAATGAAACATCTATAAGAAAACAGCCGAGCTCAGAGAGCACCAAGAACCCCACAGTCGTCATCGTCCTCTCAGCAAACCCTCTCACTTCCAGTACTGATGATGTTACCTAGTTGAGTAATGAAACATCTGCAAGAAAACAAATGCTCAGAGAGCACCAAGGACCCTTCAGAAGTTAGTATTTCCAAAAGATCATCGCATCAAGGTGGCCCAGTTTTCATTTTCATTTGGGTAAATGCCAGTGGGAAAGACAAGGACTGGGTCCCTCAATAGCACTTAGCACTTAGACTTACATACCGCTTCACAGTTCTTTATAGCCCTCTCTAAGCAGTTTTACAGAGTCAGCCTATTGCCCCCAACAATTTTGGGTCCTCATTTTGCCAACCTTGGAAGGACGGAAGGCTGAGTCAACCTTGAGCCTGGTGAGATTCGATCTGCCAAATTGTAGGCAGCTAGCAGTCAGCAGAAGTAGCCTGCAGTACTGCACTCTGCCAACCACTGCGCCATCGAGGCTGATAAAGAGCTTAAAACCCAGTACTTAAAAAAAAATCAAAATACTTAAAACCCAGTCTTGACATTATGGTGCCCCCCCACACACACACTCACACCATGACCATGTAATCATATTTTGGGCACTTAGCAACCAGTTCATCTTAGCACTAGCACTTAGATTTATATACCACATCACAGTGCTTCATAGCCCTCTCTAAGCAGTTTACAGAGTCAGCCTCTTGCCCCCCAACAATCTGGGTCCTCATTTGACCCACCTCGGAAGGACGGAAGGCTGAGTCAACCTGGAGCCTGGTGGGATTCGATCTGCCAAATTGCAGTCAGACGGCAGTCAGCAGAAGTAGCCTGCAGTACTGCCCTGTAACCATTGCGCCACCATGGCTCAATCTCATTTGATGGGCTTCATTGGATCAAAGAGATCTATTTGGTGTTTGTGTGTGTGTGTGTGTGTTCAGCTTGTTCTCCCACCATAGAGACATGTTTCCCTTAACCTCTTCTCCACAGTGATTGACATCAAATTAGAGAAACCTCCTGAGCAGCCTGTGACGGAGAATGGCTGTTCTTGTTAAATGTTCTCCAGCGTGGCAGCCCCCCTTCCCAGTTAGCCAGTTCAGTCTCTCACTGAAGAGCTCCACTTCTTACTGACTACCAAAACACGACTTTTCCGAGGGCCCGAGAAGGCCGCTAATAGGCGATTGGAGTCATCCCGCCTCCTCCTCCTCCCCCCACCCCTCCTCCCGCGTCGTGTGGGCAGCCCCAGTCGCTCCCGTTTACTGCATGGTGTGAACCCTCCAATGCCTCTTGCCCTTCGTTGGTTGTTGCACTTTGGTGCTGCTGTGGCACTCTTTTTTTTTTTTTTTGCTAGGTTTCCTTGCCGGGTTGTCCTATGAATGTGCAAGGGAGGAACTTTGTCCATCTTTTAAAAAAAACAAAAAAAACAATATTGATAAACTTACCATAAAGGAACTAAGGCATTCTTCCTTTCTCCACCTCCCTCCTTTTTTCAAAACAAAAACAAAACCCTTTCTACCGCTGCTTTTTATTCATTTGCACATTTGGGTAAGTCTTCATTGGTAGCAAGAAGAAACCTGTCCTGTTTTTCTTTCCTCACGGATGGTGCTAAGGCAGAAAGGAACACCTCAGAGAGGATTGACATACGTTCTCTCTCTCTCTTCCTAGATTATCTTCAGTATCTTTTATCCCAGGTGGACTGATTTTATTTCTCCTCTCTCCCCCCACCCCACCCCGGCATGGTCTATTGCTGGATATGTACAGAGATGGTAGGCAGAAATGGACCGTTTGGGGAAGGGTTCTGAGTCCTTATGTGGGAAACCTGGTTCCTGCATAGTGCTGAGTTGGGAGTTTCCAAAATGGAGGACGCATATTCTCCAGCAGTTTATTCCACCCTGCTCTCTCCTCTTGATAACTCTCCAAAAAAAAATAATAATCTTGTTCTTCATGAGTTCTGAAGTAGAGGGTAGCTGGATTAAACAGAGACTTCTCTTAGGCTCAGACCAATGCCAGGAGCTGCTATTTTTAAATAATTCATCACTCACGACTCATTTGAATTATGCAAAGTGCTTTACAACTGCCTCCACTTTTTGCTTCGTTCCTTGGTTTGTCATTTTGAATTATGTCTCTACATCAGTCTTCACCAACCTATAGATGCGCCAAAGTACTCTTTCTATATTCCTAGTCACTAAAGCCCAGAATTTGCAAACTTGGAAAGTGTTAGGTTGGGGAGAGATGCCATAGATTGCTGTAGAGTCTTTCAGACTTTGTCTCACTATTGGAAGGTCCTTTTTCTGAATTCTGGGTCTTTAATCCACTCCTTTATTCTGGCCTTCAAAACATAGATATCTAGTTAAACATGGAGTTGTTCGTTTTTATTTCATGTACAGTGGAAGAAATGCTAATCCTTGTCAGATGTCTGCTGGTTCTACAAAGAATATTGTACGTATTTAAAAAAAAATTAGAGGTTTGCATAGATTTCTTGAGCTTCTGATTTAGCAAAGAATTTATTTTCAGGTATCTGCTCTTTGACTGAATGCAAGTTGCACTAGCATGCAAACTAACACAGGAAGACAGGTAGAAGATGGCATGAACTGGATAATATTTTCTGATGATATTTGAATAACATGTTTTGTTTGTCTCTGTGTGATTGTCCTCCTGTAGATCAGACTTCCTAAGTTACATCTCTTGAATTTCTAATCCACCTGACTACTTAACCTTGAGAAGTTTAAGGTATGTGGACTTCAACTCCCAGAATTTCCCAGCCATCTATGCTGGCTGGGGAATTCTGGGAACTGAAGTCCACGCATCTTAACTTCTCTGAGCTTGAGAAACACTGGTATAGGCTGAAAAATGCTGGGGTTTGTCATTTGAAACAAAGGATTATGGGAGTTGCAATCTGACCCATTGAAACAGTGCTCTGGAGAATGGTTCCTGTTGTGTTGTGCTTGCTTTTGAGTATAGTTTAGAAAGATATCTGCTCCTGCAATTTTATGACTGGGTGATAAGGTGATGCAAAGTATATAACTCATCAAGGTTGGGGATGATAAGGCGATATTAACCATTTTCTTTTGACGTGATTTGTGGTGGAAGGATAGTAACACAAGATGTAGTCTGTGGTTTTTCTCACTTTTTCTGCTGAGCTCACCTGGAACCAAAGTCACTTTTAATCCTCTTCTGGAAGAATTTGGGGATTAGAACCAGAAACATCATCCAAAATGAGTTCTGCCTCTCGACCCAGCATAAGCATTTCCTTTTCCCCCATCTTGAAGGTTTCTTTGGTCTACCTTGCCCAAAACACGCCCTCCGGGTTCGATGTCTGGCATGTGATTCTTTCACGGGGGCTGAGCTGCAAATGATTTTTCTTCTTCTTTGTCTAAAATGGCCTCCTCCTCCCCGGCCTCACCCATTTGCCAAGTCTTCTGTCAGAGTCCTGGGCAGCACAGTTGAGTCTTTCCCTTAAGTTCACAGGAAACCACCAAACGGGAAACGCTTTCCATCAAAGGATGCTAATCTTTACCCAAGCGGTACTTGATACAGCCACAGTATCTGCAAGATATGTCATAAAATACTCGAAGGAGGCTCAAACCCAGTTTCTTGCTTCAGAAACCAAGTTTTCCATAGAGATGAGCCAATAAGGTTTCAGTTTGTCAATGCTGCAGGATGTTGGTGGCTTTTCTTTAGCCCTTTGATGTTTTGCTGATATTCCCCAATTTAGGAGCCTCATGCATAAAGGAGAACAACAGTCATGCAGAGTATATGTATTGGACGTCTGCACATCACTCTCTCCCAGCACTCCATCCTCTTGTCACAAAGGAGGCAACTGGACTATCTTTTTTTTCCCCTTGAGGGAAGAAGACATTTCGCTTCTCATCTGAGAAGCTTCTTCAGTTCTGACTCAAGGAGGACGTTTCACTTCTCTGAGGACGCTTCTTGGATGAGGAACTGAGGACGCTTCTTGGTTTAGAAGTGAAACGTCTTCTTCCTCCAAGAAAAAAAAACATAGTCCAGTTGCCTCTTGAAAAAGCCCCTTTGAGACAACCCCGTGACCTGGATGACTGAGGATCTCCATCGACGCTCCACCCTCTTTGTTTTTGGAATTGGGGGAAGAAATCAGACCTAGGTCTACTTGCATTTAGAAATTGGTGCTTGTTAGGCCCAGCCCCTCAGCCCTGGCACTGAGGCTTCAAGATTCCTGCTTGCTTTTTTTTTCCTGCTGCCTTGGAAGGTTTCTGCTCAGCAGCCTGCAGCCTTGAAATCTTTGAAGAAGGGAGCGCGTTGAATTATTTCCAGTTCTTAAAAAGCACCACTGTGACCTCTTCCAAATGTTGGCCACACCATATCAGGCTGCCGAGAGAATCGATTCCCTTCTTCGATGCGTGCAAAGCTTCTCTGGCATCTTCTCACATGCCTTTTATCTGAACCCGGGTAGCCCGCGTGTCTCTCTTTCTCTCTTTCAGAATCAGCCAGCTTTGCAGAGCTTGGCTCCCTGGATTTCAAAAGCTAAACACCCCCCCCCTCTTTGCAAAAGGCCCGTTCCCAACCTGTGTAGATAACTATATATAGATCTAGAGAAAGTTATATACTCCCTCTTGTGTGGGAATTGGCAGTGTCCTTGTCACGTGTCTGTTCCTTTCTCCACAATTAACTGGGGCTGCTGCTCTCTCTTCCCTTTCTCCTCTGGCCACTGTTGTCGTGGTGTTCTTTGAAGATGCACTGGAAAACTACTCTCTCTGGAGATTAGGGATTTAAAAAAAAAAAAGAAAATATAAAGAAAAAATAGGGAAAAAAAGCTTACATGTTTGTGGGTCGGGATGGCGGTTGGGGGAAAATAACCTTGTGAACAACACTGTTCGCTTTCCCCTGCCTTCTCTGTGATTGTGTATAATACTTGAGTGTGTGTCTCGGGGTCTGCTGTCTCCTAGCTGTTAGCCAACTAAGTGACTCTTGATATATGAATATTGACTGTCAGACTGCAACTGTGTTATCACACTAAATAAATTCAGTTCACCACAGTTTCGGTGTCACTGTGATGAGTTTTTAAAGGAAACTCTACATCCGGAAATGCTCGCTTCCAACTTTCGGGTAGAGGCACATTAAAGCACATATTAAAAGAGAAAAGTTTTTTTGGGGGGGGGGGGGGGGATCTGCTTGAGTAACAGTTTATCCTCCTTATTAAATTACCCAGGCCTCGTGCTCTGCTTTGCACACAGCATGGAAACAACATGGGAAGTGGCAGTTACCGGTTTCATAGCACGATACCATAGACTGAAGGATGCCAATTCAATTCAAAAGAGGAAAAGAGTACATTGGGTCTGCAATGGCAAGAAACTAGGACCAGCAGCCCTTCTTTTCGAGTCACAACATTTACTAAAAGCCCAAAGGACAGCTTTCATTCCCACTTTTTAATGGAAGCTAAATGGGGAAATGAAAGAAAGCGCTGAACCTCTTTAACTTGGCAGCCCTTTTTTTTTTTTTCCAAGCTCTTCCGTAGCCACAAGGACCGAAAATGATATTTCGAGTGAAGAGAGTTGCTTTAGCTCTGGGGTTCTGCCATGGAATAAACTCTGCCTTCATTCTGAACGTGCACCAGATAATTTGCCTGTTTTAAAAGGGAACACACGTTGGGCGTCCTTGATGTTTTCTGATCTTGTTTGCTTTCTTGCAGATCCAACGCTAGTGATACTGGGTAGCAAAAGCAACCAAGCTGACAGCACCAAGGGCCCCACTGCTCAATCCCGAGTTGCAAATATTTTATAAGCAACATTCTTTTATTACTTCATCCTCTTACAGATTTTGAGGCTAGGTAGTTTCCTGAAGCTTCAGAGCTGTAAACTGATAGCCTTGGAAAAATAACACCACCATCTGATAATAGATTGAATAAACGGTGCAGGATAAAATCCAACATTTTTTTCCCCAAGAATAACTGCTTTTCTTCATGCACTATGCTTATCAGTAGTCGTCTCAGTTCCCTTGTCTCCTTTGTGGTTAATGTGAAAGTTGATTTCCCTCAGCAGTGCAAGAGAACCAAAAAAAATGATTGTAACTCCTTTTTTAACTGGAGGCCCTGTAATAGCGAACTGCAGATCCATGACCCACTGTAGCTGCCCTTTTAGATGGGCAAGGCTTGGAATAAACACAAAGGTGGGCTTTTGCTTGCCAAAGAAGATAACATACAGCTTTGCAAGAGGGGCTGGTGTAACCTGCCCTGGGTGCCTTTTGCTATTTGGGTTTGACACAAGAATTTGGATAAATGTATAAATGAGTGCATCTCAATAGGCAGAAAAAATGCTTAGAACAACTTCGTAATCCTATGTTATTCCCCCAGAATTTCTCAATATTAAACGTTGGATGTGGACTGGCCTATCAGATGTGTGCAATTAAAGCATTAATATGAGCTATCTCAACAGGGCAGGCAAGTATAGTAAAATAAGCTTGCCAACTATATAAGGTCTGTAACTGGGCAATTAGATTTATTGGACCAGGCAAAAATTGAAGAAAAGACAAATGAAAACTTGAACAGCAATGGTATTTTGTATGTGTGTGTGTGTGTGTGTGTTAAAAAAAAAACCCAGCGATTTCCTGGCAGGCTTACCTTATTTGTCCTTTTATTATTCAGGAGGGGTTTATATTATCCCTTTTCCAAGGTTGTACAAACGACTCATATCTCAATAACAAGAGTGTTTTCAAGCAAATGAAGAACTGGAATACTACTGTAGAAATGTGTCCTTGAAGCTTAAAAATTGGGGAAAAAAAACATGACAAACCTTGGGATTAAATTATACAACAATGTCATATATGACAATACCCATCACCCATCTCTGGGGCAGATGTATCCAAGGAGAGGTCCAGAGCCGAAAGACTCATGGATGGAGCATCTTCTAGTATAATCTGTCACGGGGTATATTGATCAGCCCATCACCAGCAGAT